GTTTCCCTCCGAAACGGAGGAGGTACCGGTTGCTTGAGAGTCCGAGCGGCCTGGAAGTCACCGCCCAAGAGGCAAGCAAACCGCTATCTTCCGGCTGAGCCAAGAGCTCGACCTCATTTGTTGGTGAGCAAGTTTGGCAACACACTGCTGGAGCGACCAGCGGAGGTGCAAGAGCAACGCTTGGGGCAGGAGCAGCTCCCAGCTCTCCACCATAGCTATGGTGGAAGAGCGAGGGTAGGAGGAGGAGGAGGAAGAAGGGGGACTAGGAGAAGGGAGCGTCAGGGGTACTTACCTGGCTATGGTGGATGCATCATCACCTTGGTGGACACTACACTTGGAAGGCCCCAGTGGGGGTAGAGCTACACCAAGAGGGCAAGGCCGACGACCTGAGTACAAGCAGCCATCGTTGAGTCAGGCACGACGGCCTGAGTACAAGCAGCCATAGCTGCTTTACATTGTCTTTTGCACAGGAGGGCAAGGCCCTAGTAGTCCGCCATAGCCTTGACCTTCATTAAGAGGAAGAAGAAGGCGGCCATGGCTATGGTGGACCTCATGTGATACCTGCAGTAGAAGAGGGATTCAGACATTGATTCTGGTTCAGTGATTCAACATTATTGTTATTATTTCTTGTTTGCATAAGAGGGAAGGAGATAAGGAGGAGGAGAGTGGTTGGCGAAGGAGTTATGATTGGTCTATGCTGGTGTACATCCTCTTCTTCTTTCTTTTCTTCTTCTTCGTCTTTTTTCCCTCTCTCTCCTTTCAAGTTCATTCATTTCTTTTTGCAGTTGGACGACATGGTACTTTCTCATGAATGTGTACTTCAAAATTGGCCAGGATCATAACATTGGTATCAGAGCGGATTCTACTTGCAGGCGAGAGTTGACTTGCCTGCACTAACCCTAACCTGAGTGGTTGACGACACCACTTAGGGTTAGGGCTGGATCGTTCAGGGAAGTGGGGCAGCGTGGATGAGGGAAGCTGGCCCCACCTGGTTAGGTCATGTTGGGTCGACACTGGACCTGACCAGGTTGCTTGAGAGTAAGTTTGGGGTGGTGAGACATTTCGTGGAGACTTCATGCAACAATTTGTAAGAGGCAACAGTGAGAGGCACTCGCACCTGGAATCTGACCTTAAGGGAGACACTTGGCGACTTAAGGGCCTCCCTCAAGTAGGCGAGCTTGAGGGAGGTAGCCGTTCTGCATCTACGGACTGCAAGTTGCTACTTTGATCTTCAGTATCGATGGGGGATCCGACATTGCACTTTGGTGTTGGAGTCAGACCCTCCTACGAGATAGGACACTAGTGTAAGCGTAGTGTTACATGGGTCAGAAGGAACATATGAGAGGGGGGTGAGTACTACCTTGTCTTGAAGCTCAGGCCACTCAGGTAAGTGTTGTGCATGGTATTGACTGTCCTGTTGGGGTCAGACCCATGTGTGTGTGCATGGTATTGACTGTCTTGTTGGGGTAACTCTAGGTTTCTTTCCTGCTCCTCTGTGGTCTTGATTGTGTGATTTGAGTGTGTGGAGTACTTACTCACCTGATGGATGGAGAAATGAAGCATCTTGCTTTGAATATCGAGTCCTTCTACAATGCTTTGTCTTTTTATCTCTTAACAACTGCAGTGGTAGGTTCTCTCTGGAAGTTGAAATTTGTTTTTTAGTGTGGTAGAGGCAGAAAGTAGGCTCAAGTAGGACCCCTCTTGGTTGGGACTCGATCACGGCCTACGTGAAACACCTAGGGACCCAATGGGACTGGGGCCAAGCAAGAAGGGAACCCCTTAGGACCCAAATCTGTACAACTTTGGTTCATTCTCTTTCTGACTGGAACAAAGTTTGTTCTTTTGGTTCGGACACTTGTTGCCGAGGGGATCTTGGCTGAGATGTTTCACATGCGTATTGTCACACCGTCCGTAGCTTGACTCGCACCTTATGCACCACTCAATTCTCCATTGTTGCATGTCGTTACTCGTTGTCTGATTTGCTGTACGTTCACGAAACTGGTCAGACTGGACTCGAGGGGATCTCGTATGCAGGCTGATCAGGCTAAGTCGCTGGATCAGACCTCTTTTTATTATTTTTTTTTCTTATTTGGATGCTCTCTAGTTCAAATGTAATGTCGCTCCGACTAGGAGTTCTACCTTCTCTTCTTTGAACTTTTCGGTCTATTTTTTTCTCTGAGTTCGATTTAAATGCCCGTGGAGACTCGTAGCCAAAGAGAAAAGAGAGAGAGGGGAGAGAGAGAAAAGGAAGAGAGGGATAGTGATCGTCTTTGAGTGGACGCGAAAAGGAAAAAGAAGCGTACATCCAAGCATGAGGGAGAGTGTACCCCTTGAGATTTTGATCGATTCTTTTGCTGGTTGGCGTCTCTCTAACTCATTGGTTTACAACAACGGTCAAAAAATGGCCCAGCCACACCCGACTTCGGCACAGTGGCTGGCCTTGCTGCATGGAGCAGATGACACAGAAAAACCGCTTGTACAGACACTCTACGAGGGTGCTCTGAAGAAGGAACAACAGGCAGAGGAGAAGAGGAATAAGACATATATGACGAGTCAGTTGTCCATTTTGGAGAATGTTCCCTAGTTGAGAAAAGAACAGTGTGGGGAACAGTTGCAGCCTATCCTCACCGCTATCGTTCAAGTTAGGCACCTTGAGGATCATACACTCTAATCTCCCAAGTTTTTGCACAACTGCGGAAACTGCGGGAATAACTGACTGAGATGACCGACAAGTATCATGACTTGGCGGTAGAGGTGGCTGAATTGAGACAGGCCCAAGTGCCTAATCTTCTTCCCCTACCCCCTGCTTCTAATGCTTCTATTGAAACCAATCCTACCCCTCTTACCATATCCTCTTCCTCTTCTACTTCTTTAAGTGTGGCCGCAAGTCTTTTGGAACCTGCAGCAGGTGCAGATTACGCTGTTGCTGCAGCAAGCGACAACGCGGGAAATTATGCAACTGCTGCAGCTCCGAAATCTGAACCAGCCAATGCTGGTCCCAACTTCAACGAATCCTATGTGGATCGCAAGGTGGTACGTATGTCGTCTAAGTTCGACGGCAAAGAAGACGTTGAATCCTGGATCAGCTCCATGAGAGCTTATTTTGAGGTATTGGGGACTCGGCCAGAGACCCAGCTCGTGATCATGGGAATGAACGTCGAGCCCATCGTACGGGGCTTCTTAGAAGTCCAGTGCACGCAAGTTGGGGTCCCAAAGATAAGACCTGACAAGGTGGCTTAAAGCCACGCCGGTTGCCACCCTTGAGGAACTTCTAATCAAACAATACATGGATCCTCATGCTGCAGAACGGGTAAGGAACCACGCAACAAATGGACTAGTTCCATGAAAAGCCTTCAGACCTACCTTAGCAAGATGTTTGTCACTCCCTCACGTGGACCCTTTGGAGGAAACGTTGTATACATGCTCTGGAGGAGGTCCGTATAATTGGGGAAGAGGCAACAGACATGATAAGGCAGTACATTCAACAAGAACTCATGGTATACTGGCAAAAAATTAAAACCCAACTTGACTTATGTCATTCAGCAAAGGACGTAACACAAACAATTCAACTATTTTCTGGAGACTGGTTGGGCAGTGAGAATGGGGGCTGGATCGCATATGTCAGATGGGAGGGCAAGCCCGCCCAGGAAGGCAACCAGGAGGAATTCAGGAGAGACTACCGTATCTGTTTCAAAGACTGGACTACCGTGGGCCAGGAGATCCCACTGCGACCTGCTATAGAACTCCCCGACCCCTTCCCGCCCCACCAGCTGGCGATGGTGGATATGCAATGGTATGGAGCAGATTGAACGGGCGACCCCTGAGGAACGGGAAGAAGCCGCACTGCTGACCTTTTGAATATTCTAGAAGCAACTGAGCATGAGGGTTCTGTATGCAACTGAGCATGGTTTTGGAGTGTGTGGCTCCCCTGATTAGTATCAGTCCCTAGTATCAGTCCTTAGCGGTCTATCTGACGCCCTTTTATAAGGGTGAAGAGATACAAAAAGGGATTGGCTGCCCTGCATGCTCACACAAGGCTAGCTTACTGGATATTACACAGGATCTGCTCAGTCAATCCCTTGGGTTTCAGGGCAATCAATCCTGGTAGACTCCAAAGCCACTATTCTCATAGGGTCTGCTCAGTCAATCCCCTGTTCTGAAGGGTAATCAATGTTGGCAGACCTCACACGGTTTTCCACCTTCTCAAGATGTTTTTTTTCAAGGGACGCTGGACCCGTTTTCCAGCAGGTGACACTCCCCACTAATAGATGGAGCCTTTCTCAGAAAAAAAAAA